CGTTCCCAGCCAATGGAAGTGACAAGAAATGATGTGGACCAGGACACCACTTCTTGCATCTCCAATTAGCCAGGAATGGCAATCAGCGGGCTGCGATCATCAGTACTTGTAGCCATGCACATAAATATAGTGGTGGGGGCCTGCCAGGAGCTAACCCAGGAATACTGGATCCAGCCCAGGGGCCATTATTTGCCCAGCCTGCAGTACAGTATTTGTCTAAGGTGAATTGAAAAACCACTTTCTTTTTATTATTTTTACAGTGCAAATATTTGTAATGGAAATAATCTATTGTGAGCAGTGTACACTTTGTATTCTTTGTTGTAACTGAAATGAATATATTTTAGAAAGTAGAAAAAGTCCAAAATATTTAATAAATTTCAATTGGTATTCTATTGTTTAACTGTGCAATTAAACTGTGATTAATGATTATTATTTTTTTGAGTGATGCAATTAGTCAACAACCCTAAAACACCCTACATTGAAAATAATATTTAGTTTGCAAGTTTAAAATCTCTGAAATTAGAAATAAGACTTTCTACGCTAACTTAGTTCTGCCTTCTTATGGGGATTATCTGCAATATGATATGGGTGGGCTAGTCAAAATTTTTCCAGCAAAACCCTTTCATTTGAAAAATTAGTTTTCAACTCAATGAATTTAAAAAAAAAGAAAAAGAAACCAAATACCCAAAAATAAAAAATGTTTGATTTGTAAATGCTTCTAATCAACAGATCTCCAGGTGGGAGACTTTAATCTCTTGACAAGACTTTTAAGAGGGTCATCTGACAAAAGAGAATATGGAGTTATATAAGAGTGGGTCTCTCAACAACCATTTTGGAGAGTGCAGAAGGAAACTGGCTGATCAGAAGACCATCCCTGATTCAGAGAAGTCATGTGTAGGAGAGGGGGTTCTAGACCCCTTACTGGATTCTGATCTAAGTCCAAAGAACACTCAAGAGTGGTGAGGACACTGACTCAGGAAGTCATTTCAGCTGTTTTGAACAATGTCTGAGACAGAACATCAACATTGGCTGCCCGTCGAAGGGAGCCACAGCCTGTTACACCCAAAGACTGGTATAGGGGGCTCTGTCTATGAGGCGGAGTGCCTCCCATATAAGGGCATGTAAATTAATGATCTTCCCCTGCTTGCTCCACCCACTGCAGTGAAAGATCAGCCTATGGGTTGCCTCGTGGTCAGGCCTGCTCACTCCACCCACTGCGGCAAAAACCAACCTATGGGGTGATAAGCCCACAGGCAATAAAACAGGCAGCCGAACCCTCTCACAGTGGGGATCGCATCGTGTCAACGCCTGGCCTGATCATCCAGTCGCCTTGCACCCCCCGCTCTCGAGTCTGTTTGAGCGTACCTCGAGTTGGTCGACCTGAGTGGAGACAGTTTAGGAGCATGTGGCTGGTACTCGTGTTCCTGCTGTCTTCAGAATCGGTATAACACCTCTTACCCACGATTATCCCTATCCCAACTGATTTTTGAGTTACCCCCATTGCCTATCTAGTAACAATAGTTCAAGAGTTATTGTGTTAGTTTTTAAATAGTGGTTGTTAAGGGTTTTTAACTGTTCTTTGTGTAATATAGTGTAAATAGTTAGACTTATGAACAACACCAGTGTGAATTCGACTGTTTCTAATCCCTGGGCAGTTACTGGGAATTATTATGATTTAGAAAAGCCTCAGGGAATTGTTTTATACTGTTTGATGATTTGTTTGTTTTTCATTCTGATGATTGTCTGGCGACTGCGCATGTGACTAAGTTTACAGTCATTAGGCACCAGAGTCCTCATCAAAATAAAATCAGTTTTTATTTCTTAAACCCCCAGTTGTGGTCTCATTCTTTCCAGCATCCTTTCGAACCTCGTGTATTGCAGGAACTGACAAACAACAGTACCAAAAACTTACCACAAATGATCAACTTCCAAAGTATAAATCTCCAGTTAAGCCAACACACTGCAGCCCATCCCAGACAGACCAGGATTGGTACACCACTGTCCTATGCCCTGTGTTTCACACCCAACTCTTTTTTCCCTCTTCCCTTTCCTCTCCCTGCTGCCCTGAGACACATTAACTGTTGGGTGGTTAGAGAGCAAAATGAGAGCTAATCCCACTTCTTCCAGATTTTTTCTTCCTATTTCTCTGTGTCCCCAGCAGCTACCCTATGCATAATTGGTTTTGCAATATGACTGACATCTTTTCCAGTGGTATCTGTCAAAGAGTTAAACTAGTTACAGTTCCTCCCTTACTCTTTTTCACTCATCATGCCTCCACTTCCCCCTCTATTTCATTTGCCTGCTGCAGTCCTCTTAGTTATAATTCTTCTTCTTAAGCTTTTGTTTAAAACAGCCAAACTGATCAAAGTTTTAATGGCACATTTAATTACAGAAAGAATATTATTTGAATAAAACTTAATTACCCTTTAGACTGAGCTCCTCTGGTCAGAGACCAGATCTACTTTTCTGTTAGTGCATTGTTCACTCTACCATAAGAGCTGATAATTTGCCCAGATCTATAGTAATTCATCAAAATCAGATACAGAGAGCTGTACATTGTTATAGTATGACCTTGATTATCTGCTCAATTGGCCAAATGAGCCTAATTATATAATACAACCTATTCTCAGTAACAGGGGCAAGTCTTCCACACACTATTAATTTCATTGAAATTTCCTTCAGTTACCTGAACTTACTCTGTGTTAACCACAATAGTCAGACAAGCAAGGCTGTACTGAATGAAGCCAGCAATGTCATTTAATGGCATGCTCTTCACTTTCTGCATGGATTGTATGATGGAACACACAGACTCCAACAAGGCAGTTGACCTGGTACTGCATGACATTTTGATTAAAAAATTAGAATGATATAAAAGGAATATGGCACACGTTAAATAGAGTAAAAACTGGCTAACTGATAAGTCTTGAAATCTAATTGTATATAGGGAATCCTCAGAGTTGGGGCATTTCTAGTTGGGTCCTCAAGAGTCAGTTGCTGGCCACATGCTAATGTTTTCATCAAAGATCTGGAAGAAAACATAATGATCTCTGATAAGATTTGCAAGTGATACAAAAATTGGTGCAGTGGTAAATAACGACAAGGACGGGTTACTGACAAAATGCTCTGGATAACTTATTAAGCTGGGCACAAGCAGGCAAACATGTTTTAATATGCCTAAATGTAAAGGTATACACCTTAGACCACCACATTTAGGCCATTCTTTCAAGATGGGGAACTCTATCCTGGGAATCAGTGAGTATGAAAAAGATCTGGAGGCTGTGGTGGATTATCAGTTGAACATAAGCTCTGGCTGTGATGCTGCAGCCCAAAGAGCTAATGCAATCCATGGATGTATAAAACTGGGGAATCTCAAGTAGGCGTAAAGAGGTTATTTTATCTCTGTATTTGGCAACAGTGCAACCACTACGGGAATAGTATGTCTAGTTGAAGTGTCCACAATTCCAGAAGGATGTTGATAAATTGGAGGGTTCAGAGAAGAGCTACAGGAATGATTAAAGGATTAGAAAATGTGCCTTATGTACTGGATTCAAGGAGCGCAATCTCTTTAGTTTAATCAGAGATGGCATCAGGGTAGCTTGACTACAGTTTAAAAGTAACTAAAGGGAGAACAATTATTTGACAGTGGGCTCTTCAATCTAAGTGAGAGGAATTATATAATCCAATGTCTGGAAGTAGAAGCTTGACAAATTCAGACTGGAACTCTGGCACACATTTTTAACAGTGAAGGTGATTAAGCACAGCAGGTTCTTCGTCACTGGCCACTTTTTAAATCAAAATTGGATGTTTTTCTCAAATGCGTGTTCTAGGAATTACTTTGGGGGAAGGTCTCTGGCCTCTGTGAAACAGGAGGTCAGATCAGATCAGCAGTTTTCAAACTGCGGCTCAGGACCCCAAAGTGGGTTGTGACTCCATTTTAATGGGATTGCCAGGGCCAGCAGTGGACTTGCTGGGACCCAGAACAGAAGCTGAAGCCTGAGCTCCACTCTCACCGCCAGCCTGCTGTCCCTCTACCCAGGGTTGTGTAGTAATTTTGTTGTCAGAAGGAGGTTGTGGTGCAATGAAGTTTGAGAACAGATAGACTATATGATCCTAACAGTCTCTCTGACCTTTTCTCAACTATTATAGGTTTTTAAAAATTCCACACACTTTTTATACCCAGAAAACCTGCCAGGATATGTAGTTCTGGATGTACTACATGACAAATACAAATAGATGGTGCCTAATATTAATCTGTTAATCATGTAAATGACGGAATCTGTACAGACACCCAACAACTGTAATGGAATTTTTCAAATTATACCATTTGTTTTCTTAGTGCATTTCATAATAAGAATCACAAAAAGATTAAATGAGCAATTTTTTATTTTTTTAAATGTTAAGAAAATGTGTAAGTGTAGGGAGCTAAACTATTGAAACTTGAAACTAAAGACCTTTTTTTTTTTCTTTCAAGAAGCGACACAGCACAAGGAGCCACAATGCAAGTTTTTCAAACAACTATCATGCCCTCTACCAGCATGCCAGGCAGACACTGAAGGAGCACCTCTAGTTTCATTTCTATGCCAGTTTAATCTTTTTCCTGTTTTTAAGGACTACAAATTGATGCAGAACCTGCCCTTAATGTCCTGCAATGAGACCATCATTTAATTTAACAGGCAAGCATGTTTTCACCTACCCACCTGCTATTAGGTTGCCATTCTAGCACATGAACAAAATTAACATCCATGATCTCCAATTACCCAGCCTTCCCTCCGTCTCTTCTCCACAAAGTCAGGCCCTATAATTTTTCTTCCCCTTCTCTGCCTATGGTCCCCCATCCTTTTACTAGTCTTCAAGAGTGTAGGCCTTATTCATGCTTTCCACCAAACCCCTTTAAGTAAAGGCTCTGCTGCTGGGGTGAGGCTCTCATGGGTGAAAGGTTCAAATTCTTCACCAATCCTATCAATATCATTCTGTAACAACTGGGGGGAAAAACAACTTACAGTTTTCTTCAACATTTTGACAGCATAAGGCTTCTGGGTTCCTTTCTGCCTGCATCGGTAGACGATGGATGTAGCACCACTAAATGAAAATGAAAGACAATGTTATTATTGAAGTCTATTGAATACACTGAATACATCTTGTCTATTTAGACAAATAGCGTGAGAGTTCTTATTTCCAGCGGAAGATGTCTAGTAATTTGCAGAGCAAAAAGCTAAAATATTCTCTGCTGTAGAAAATGGCAAAAAGGCTCTGCTGCTGGGGGGTGATGGCTCTCAGAGATTAAAAACGTCCACATTTGTAATTCCTACAGTGCAGAGACTTTCTTCCTTACCATGTAAAGAACATGATCACGCCCAACACCTTATAGCTAAACTAGAATATACATTTGAGAAAGGCAGGTCAGTTCAGACAAGGTTTAAAACATGTACAGGCAGTCCCCGGGTTACGTACAAGATAGGGACTGTAAGTTTGTTCTTAAGTTGAATTTGTATGTAAGTCGGAAATGGTACATATTGTAGGGGAAACTCTAGCCAAACATTTCTCCAGAGCTCAGTTTTATTCTCCCACACCTCACTTCCCTCAGTCCTTTATTCCCAAGCTGAGGTGTCTGCTGAGAAAAGCCGCTCCGTGTCTCCCTGGTCTGCTGGGGGGGGGGGGCCCGCTAGCTTCGCGTCTCCCTGGTCTGCTGGGGGGAAGCAGCTAGTGCGGGGTTGCCTCACCCCGTTTGTAAGTAGGGATCCGATGTAAGTCGGATCCATGTAACCCGGGGACTGCCTGTAATTGTTTCGCAGCTTACATTTGTCATATCATTGACTCTTGTGAAGTTTGCCCATTTCTAGACACTATGCACAATGGCAGTACTGTATTTCTGTAGGCTGTTAAAATGATTTTTATAAAATGTACAACATATTGATAAATATATAGGAGTATTCTAACCTCCAGAGAATTTCCGAATCATTAAAAATATGTAACCAGAACACTTCTCATAAGCCAATATAAAGAACTCTCAAATGACTCCATTTAACAAGACAGAAAAAATGCTGAGTTAACTCAAACCCTTTAAGCAAAAAGTATAGTCCCTACGGACATGTTACTGTAATATATATATTTTCAATATTTTACTAAAGAAGTGCTATAGGAAAGTCACTGTATCAATGCAAATCATCATTATATAGTCATTTATATATTTAAAGTGCTATATAAACATTACACTAATTAATCTTCATATTCCCCTGTGAAATAGATAATTAACTATCTAGAATGGATAATGTAAACAATATCAAGTGTCATCTGATTAAGGCTGGAAAAGAGGAAACATATTTCTGGAAAAGGTTTGGTGACAAAATGCTTCCATATGTACAAATATTCATGGCTGAAAGTACGGTTTCTGTCAGGCAGCAAAGGTGCCTTCTAGTTAACATTTTAACCCCCTCCTTCAGAAACAAGTGGCAAACTATATGAAGAAGAAAACCCTCAAAACACTCGACTAACGGTGGGGCACTCAACAATTGCTACGAGAACAGAAACCCATTTCTTTCCAACCCAGTCATTGTGATGGGAATGGCCTTTCCTTTTATGTTGGTTTGTTTTAAATTAAAAGCCCCAACTCTGGAATTAGTCTTTCTCCTAGATCTGGAACCATGCAGAATGGAGACAGATGCTTAGAAAAGAGGAAATGACATAATGTTGAAGATGAATGCCTATTTTTATGAATTCTCTAGTGTTCTACACAGCTTTCCAACATGCTCACAAGCAGTACATCTTGCGTTCTTTATTTTGGATTTCTGCAGCAGCCTACTTGTGAATACATTAACCTACTGCTTGACCAGCACACAGAGCTTTCCTGAACCTGCATTAGTTTGAAAGGTCTTCAAAATATTTTTCACATTAGACCTCAGTCAACAGAAAATAGTGGAAAACGTGGGTTCTGAGAAGCTCATGTAAGCCAGGAAAGCTTAGAATAGTGATAGAAATGTAGCCGTGTTAGTCTGGTGTAGCTGAAACAAAAAACAGGACTATGTAGCACTTTAAAGACTAACAAGATGGTTTATTAGGTGATGAGCTTTTGTGGGCCAGACCCACTTCCTCAGATCAAATAGTGGAAGAAAATTGGCACAACCATATATACCAAAGGATACAATAAAAAAGATGAACACATATGAAAAGGACAAATCAAATTTCAGAACAGAAGGGGAATGAGGGGGAGAGGTAAATGTCTGTTAGCTAATGATATTAGAGGTGATAATTGGGGAAGCTATCTTTGTAATGGGTAAGATAATTAATGTCTTTGTTTAGACCTAGGCGTAAAGTGTCGAATTTAAGCATGAATGACAGTTCAGAGGATTCTCTTTCAATTCTGGTGTTAAAAGGTCTTTGAAGCAGACCCGTTGCCAGCTCTGTCCACATATTCACTCTGCTGATACCATTATTGGACCTAACCAAGTGAGTTATAAGATCAAGAACACATATTCCTGCTCATCCAGAAATATAATTTATGCTATCATGTGCCGAAAGTGTCCATCTGCTATGTACACTGGACAAACATCTCAGACACTTCGCCAAGGAATCAATGCCCACAAAACAGATATTAGACAGAATCACAAAGAAAAAACAGTTTCTTGCCATTTCAACCAAAAAGGGCATTGTCTCAATGACTTGATTACCTGCACCCTGCTTCAAAGACCTTTTACCACCAGACTTGAAAGAGAATCCTGTGAACTGTCATTCGTGCTGAAATTTGACACTTTACTCCTAGGTCTTAACAAGGATGCTAATTACCTTACCCATTACAAAGATAGCTTCCCCAGTTATCACCTCTAATATCATTAGCTCACAGACATTTACCTCCCTCCTTCCCCCTTCTGCTCTGAAATTTGATTTGTCCTTTTCACATGTGTTCATCTTTTTTATTGTATCCTTTGGTATATATGGTTGTGCCAATTTTCTTCCACCACTTGATCTAAAGAAGTGGGTCTGGCCCACAAAAGCTCATCACCTAATAAACCATCTTGTTAGTCTTTTAAGTGCTACATAGTCCTGTTTTGTGTTTCAGGAAAGCTTAGGGCATTTGTAATCCTTAAAAGTTGTGAAAAATGCAAAATTTTGTAAGTAAGGGGTCTTTTATAAAAATAAAAGATTTTCATGAGCTGGCCAGGTTTAGAATAGTTCACAACTTTCTTTCTCTCACCTTGGAGTATTAAAGTCTAACTGAACTCCAAACAAAAATGATTCAAAGTTGTTTGGAACTATATAAAGAGGAAGTATAAGAGGAAATCAAGTTAGTTTGCTATACTAAAAGAGTATGACTATCTACTCTGGGAAATAATGGAATATTCTTTTACTGCTCCTGGAAATCAGGTTAGTGAGTGAGTGAGATTTATTTTAAAAAGCCCATATACATGCTGCAAAACTGTGTGTTTTTTAAAACTTAATCTGCTACACAGAAGGATTCCTGCAGCAACATCCAACATCTTTCTGAAGTTGAAAAAAAAAAGTCTATGAAATACTATAAATCTCATCTAATGCTGCTTCAGTATGAATGACATGACCCTAATAGCATCCCAATGCAAGACTGCCAAGAGCTCTTTGGTACCTGGTGGTAACTTTCAGCTTCCTGACCAGTTCAGTGTACCCAAATTCATGTCAGACAGTATCTGATGTACATCATTGGAAGACTAACATGACACTGATCATTAATATTCTATAGTGATGTACATATGGTAAATGCCCAAAGGACAACAGAAACATGAAGGGAACATGGAACTAAAATGTATTGACTGGACAAGACTGGGGCATGAGCTAAGAGCCCTCCACCCCACAAAAAAAAATTAAACAAAAAAAACTACAAGCTAGTACCTTCGGTTAGCTGCCATCGGAGTTGCTTACCAATCACAGGACAAGTGTCCATTTATTTGCATAGAAGAGGGCAGGAAAAAAACTAGCAAACACCTACAGAGAAGGAAACAGGCATGCAACCTCCTTCACCACCACATTCCATGCCTCCTTCCTTACAGCTTGAATTGACTTGATTTTAGGAGGCATCCTTCAGAAGACTCCATTCACTGGACTATAAAAGTTCACTGGGAAATAAAAGAGAGAGGCAAAGAACCCCAAGTAACTTTTCAAGTAAAACAACGAAGACACTATCTTTGGCAAGCGATCTCTATCGGAGGGGAAGTCAGACATTTTGCAGGAAGAAGCGAGTGGCAGGAATCTAAGCTGATACTTCAGACAATAGTTTGTGACCGTTGTAGCATTAGAAAATATATTTTTTCTTTTGTTTGTTTGTAACCCTTTCTAGCTATATTCCTTGTACTTGGCAACACTTAAAATCTCATCTTCTTTGGTTAATCATCTTGTTTGACTTTTAATCTACACAAGCCTGGTGCTGTACTTGAACCGAAGCAATTGGTACCTCCAGGTCAAGTGAGAAACTGTCTTTTGTCTCTTCTGAGGAGCCAGTGAGCCTTTTCTCTCCTGTTAATGGCCCAGGAAAGGGCTGGCCCTTGTACAGCACACAGTTTTGTGAAATTTGGGATAGGGTGTTTCAGTCACTTGGCTGGTAGTCAAACAGCAGTACCCATTCCAGGGACAAGTGTCTTATTTATCACCACTACACAATATTCCACACCCTTGCGTCAAAGAAATCTAATAAAAAGTAAGTACTGGCACTGCAAGTACACACCCATCTGGCTGATAACCAAAGCTGATGGATACTAGAGTGTGGCTGGGGCATAACAACCTGGCTGCTGGAATCAAGGATGAGCCACAGCTGCTTAATACAGAGACTGTGTGCGCTTGTCTGCTGGCTGTCAGCGCACAGGCTGTGAGCCACAGCAGCAGAGCATGCAAAGCACCAAGGTTACAGGGAAGGTGGTAACAATCCCTTGCTGTCTGGATTACTCCCCAGAACATGACAATGACATCTAAATATAAAAGTGCTTACAAAAAAAAGTGCTTCCATACAATGAGTTAATTGCACTAAAATTAAGGACAACTTGTGGGATGCACTATTACTCTTTGTGAATGTGGAAAAGCAGCTAGGAAAAGGGAGTTGTATTCTACAATGGAACTATAAT